AAGTGCTCACCTTCCTCCACAGACTCAGCTCCTTGTGAGGGGTTTCCAGGGCCAAATGCCAGTCCTCGGGGATTTGGAATTAACTCAGCAGAATTTAAGAAGCGGCAGCCTGGACCTCTGAGGTTCGGCCTCGGCTTCTAGCCCTTTATCACTTGGTGTTTTGACTCTGCTAAAGAGCTGCTTCCACATTCCCGAGATCTGTACCCTCTGTGGGCCCTCATTTGGCTGTCTGATTCCTTCTTTTATCCTTGAAGATCTTGAGTTCTAGTCTTGAAAATGATTTACTATTGCATCTACTTGTCCGTTATCAGTTCCAGATCCAGGGGGCTGCCCCCCAGCTTAGTGACAGGGTCTCTCTCCTGCTGATGGGTCCTCTTCACAACTGGGGCCCTTTTGTCTCCTCAGCTCCACGGCCATTCCCTGCCACCTCCATGCCCACCAGCACTGGAGGCAGCTCCGGTCCCAGGCCCTGCCTGCCTTGGCTCATGCAACTCATCCCAGAAAGGCTTGTCTCCAAGGAGACACACACGATGTCCCTTTGTACCTTCCCAACGTAGTATCTGAACAACCCCGTGTTAACCAGGAAGTCCCAGTCTTTGATAAAAAGGGGTTAGGCTGTCGCCTCACCCCATCAACTTATTTACCACATGGTCACATGTGAATAACCTACTTTCCAAAGCTTTTAATTCTATAGTTTGCTCCATAAAAAAGGGCCAGTGAGGTAACAACATCTGGTGTTAGAATGAAATGACAGATGAGAAAAGTGAGGTTGGAAAGGATAACGTACCTACCAAAGATCACATAGCTCCTTAGGCCGAACCAGGGCCTGGGCTCCTGTCTCCTGACTCCCAGGCCATCACTCTTACTGCCTATTAGATCAGTGGTCAAGCCTGCAGATTGCCTTAGGCCGAGAATCGGGGTGGAAGGACTTTAAATGTCATCTAGGCTGATGTCTTTGGGTGGAATCCCCTCAGGAAATGCCCTGCCAAGTGCCAGCCAGATTCCGCTTCAACAACACCCCCCCCCCCCACTCCCACCCTGCTCGGCCCCACATCCCCGCCTGAGTCTGATGTCAGCTCCAGGGCCTGCCGCTCTGGAGGAACAGCTTACACAGCTGCGGACCTGAGCTGCTCTCTCCAGCATCTTCATCCAGTTGGTTGACTTTCCTTTAGGTTTCATTAGAGAAATCTAACATCTCTGGAACTTAGTAATCTTTTCCTTGTCTTGAGTTCAGATCTAACTCCTTAATTTTCTACCCACTCACTAGGTACATCTGTTGCATCCAAGCACACACTCACATACTCCCTCATACACAATCACACTCACACATGCACACACATTCTCACATATTTTCTCACGCACTCGCATATTCTCGCACACTCTCACACCCATGCACACACACAAACATACATATTCTCATAATGCTCTGGCACTCACACACACGTGCACATTCACATATTCTCACACAATTTCTCTGATACTCACACATGCATACACATACAGTCTCTCACACACATATTCTCACACACTCCCTTATACATATACACTCATATACTCTCACACCCACACACCCACACACACAATTCCATGTATCTTCACAATGTTCTCTCACACTCACACATGCACACACATGAATATACTCTCACCTATTCTCACACACTCCCATATTCTATATACTCTTTCACATTCACAGACACACACACACACAATGTATCTCTTTTTTCACATAACAGCCTTCCAAAGATTTGCCCCTGAGCAATCTCTTTTCCCCACTGAACCACCTCTGTTTCTTTATTCTCACCCTATAGAGAGGCTTGTCATGGCCTTCCCTGTTCCAACCTCTGGACTACGCCTCCTCTAAATCCTTCTCACGGCGTGGCGACCTCTGGCAGCCTCCAATCTGGGCAAGACCTCCACGCTGAGGTCTGCTGACCCTCTAAGAGCACAGCGGGCTTGGAATTCTCCTTAAGCTTTCGTCTTACAGGAGGACGTAGAAGAGCATGAATGAGAACAGAGATTCTGAAGCACACTAACCAACAAGAATGGGAGCTGGTATTTGTCCCAGCAGCTCTGTCAAGCATTTCAGAAATTCTAGTAAACATGCTCCCATCTGGAGAAGACAACTGCAACTGCGATAATTCTGCAGGATATCCAGTTGATGCTTGAGCAAAGCACATCTTGAGTGGGCGGAAAGGTAATGATTCACAGACACTAATTGCTCACCCTCATCAGATGTTGTAGCTGGAGCTGGGGGAAGCACTGAGTTGTGCATCAATTTTCCCTACCCAGACACCAGTACAGCTCAAGAGCCTGTTATTCCGGGAGGGGTAGCTCACATGGCATACCTGAGCAGGGCACTTGCTTCTTTCCAGCATCTTAACTCCGTTGGCTGGGGTTTATATGTTCTTTTTTTTCCCTTTTGTTTTCATTACGGAAATAATTTCAAGCTAAGCTTCTTGATTAGGCAGAGCTGTTCCTAGATGTGCATAAGGCAGCCACAGCTTAGAGGGTGATGTCCTTCAAGAATGGCCACCGCAGGCAGCAAGAAGTGATGGCAGGCCATCCGGACTCTATTCAGGGAGCTGGAGGGACTGAACTTAGTAGGTGAGGAAATGCACAGCCTAGGTGTTCGTTTCTCATGCCTCTTGGTCCTTATCCTTACTTACAGTATGTGAATTTGTATTTGAGACCAAGCTTCAACTTATATCCTGTCTGGAAACCAGGTTCCTGATTTGTTCCTTACACCTGACTTGTAGCCCAGTCCTCTTGTCTTAAATTATGATGATCTGTCACACTCTTAACAGCCTTTACTTTCACCAGCCTGCAGCTGGGGTCCTGCCAACACCTGCCAGACTTTCCCTATGTCAGTATCCAGCTTGTTCTCTGCAGGATCTCTGTCCCTAGACTCTCCATTGCTAAGTCCCACCCTCCTATTAAGCCTTCAGATCTTATCCTTTGCCATACCTCCCAGTGCCCACCCTCTGCTTATCCTTGTACCTAATGAATCACCTGGCTCTAGCAGGACACACGGCTTCCTCTGCTACCTGCCAGCAGCTGGGTTGACACCAGCCCAAGCCCAGGGACCAATTTAGCTCCCAGACCCTCTAATTCTGTCTAGTGTTGCCATTCTCCAAGACCCTTTCTGCTCCAAGCAGCTTTAGAGAGAACAGATGAGAGCCTAAGCTACACAATGGGGATACACAGCCTGGGCACTGTGAGTTAGATGAGGAAGGGAGATGCTGGCATAAAGCAGCTGAAATCTGTTTTCCCAGCTCAAGCTACAAGCTGATAGAGCTACTTACCTCCCACCCCACCCGCATCCCCTTCTAGCCTAACTGGCAACCTGATTTTGGTCACACTGAGGACTTGGCCAGCTCTGTGGACACCAAGACAAACTCATGAAGTAAAGGTTGCAGTTTAAGTGCTCTTGATTTTTCCTTTGGCATATACTGATGGGAACTAACAAATTACATCTAAGTTATACTTACCAGCTTGGAGAGTATTTGAATTCAGGAAAACAAACTGGTGCTTGGTTATCTGGAGAATGTATTTAAATTCACAAAGAACCATTTGTGCCATGTGGCGATTTTTTTTTTTTACAGAAATAATAACTCTCCCCTTTGCTAATTGACATGATAAACAAAGATAGAGCTCCTCCTCTTCCATCACTATCTCCAAAATCAAATTTAACAGCAATTCTCTGTTTAAGCAGAAAGAAAAAAATGGGCTAGTTACTCGTTCGTGGAAAAAAGGTAAAAATTTTCCAGTGACTGTTTCTTTGAGGTGTCTATTTTAAGAAATTTGTTGGGGAGTAGGTTACAAGGTGAATATCTAACCTTTTAGAGAGCAAGAATCAGGAGTTTCAACCGAGTGACTGCTTATAAAATGCTAAGACACGGTGTGTGCCCAGGAACAAGCCAGGTTCAGCTCCAGATTTCAGGTTTTGCAACCCCATCCTATATCTGAATGTCATAGCCACCTTTACAAAAACAATACCCTTTAGTTAAACTAAGTAGAAAAATATAGTGAAAAGATTCCTCGCTATTCTCTAGGTGAAAGAAGATATTTTTCTTAAGGAAAACACTGGTGAGAATAAAAGCCAAGTATTGTTTTAGGCTCCCTCCAATCTCCAAAATACCATTTAAAAAATAATTACGCCCACAATTTATGCACGATTCACTAGACAGAAAGATAAAAAGCACTGCTACATTTTAATTGCATTGGAAGAGTAGACATCATGAAATATACCCCCAACTTCTTGGGATTACAACCCAGCCTAGGAACGTCTTCACCACAATTTAAACCCTGTCCAAATAGTCTAACTCAATTCAATTATAATATTTTAGTTTCATAATTTGACAGACTTATGAAGAATTATTTTAGTGATGCAATTACAGGGTTAAATCATTTTTTATCAATAGTTCAGCTTTTTGTTGTGAAAGTGAACAGGACTGAATTACAGACAACAACAGGAACTGTCACCTCTGGGGGGGAAAAAATAAAAATACAACTTAGCTGTCTGCACAGTTCCCCTCATCCCCACCCTCACCAAGATAAAGGCAGGATGACAGGCTGCGTTACACAGACACAGGCAGTGAATCGACCCACTAGACACAAAACACCACACGTTAGCCATGCAGATGACACACTGAAGTTATGGGAAATACAGCATTCATTACATAATAGGTACTGTATCTTACGTAATATATAATCAGTGTGATAGACAACACCTTGCAGGATGCAAACAGCCTTGCAGAAGATGCCAGCTGCTGAATTACTAATCTGAAGGAGCCAGGGTGAGAGAATGAGCCCCTGTAATTGTACTGAATAGCCTATGACAGCAAGGTCTGCAGGGCTCCCTGCCCGTCCCTTTAGGTTTCAAAGGGCATCTACCTTTAGGCTCTCCTCAGGCAGCCTCTGCCGAAGAGGGAGCACAATTAATGGGACAGGCACAGCGCCCCGACTTCACGGTCTCCCGTGATCTCTGTTCCCACACATACCTGTGGTCTTTAGTGGGGTTTTCTCTCCTAACAAGAGTTTTAACCTTTTGGCATGGATTTTGCCTTGATAATGTGAGTCAGCCACCACTGCCGAGGTAAAGGACATGTTACAGAGCGTACAGCACTTATTCTTATCAACCATATCGGCGTCATTTCCCTACGGAAAAAAGAAAGAAAAAAAAAATAACATTAGAGGGAATCCCAAGTCCCAAAATGTCTTTTTTTCCCATTCCATTCTGCTGCAAATGAGATGTAGCACAGACTTTCTCACTGAAATGCAACCTTTTTTTTCTTCATGACAATCACCATCAAAACATTTTCAGCTAGTGACTTCAACCTACATTATTTAGTGGGTAGTAGTGCCAGACCAAGGGAACAGAGGACACGTGTGCAGATATGAGTTGCGCAAGGAAACAGGGCCCACGATGAGGCGAGAGCACATTGTGTCTGGCACCGTGAGGGAGACCGTCTCTATTTGCACCCATTATGTTCATTAAAGTAAGTAAAATAATCAGAGTGCGGAGGGCCTGAATTATTTAGCAGAAATTATCATTTGGCATTCAGCTCTTTCACCAATTTTAGCCTCACTGGGATACACGGCCACATGTTCAAGATCTTCTTTTTTAAGACTTCTTTAAGGACTTGAACATTTTTCATAATCAACTGGAGTATAGATCAAAAAGTTATGATGACCACGCTGGCTGAATTTTCTAGGAGAGTTTGTATAATTTCCTTATCTTTGGGGAAGGTGATTCGTTAAACACAGAACAAAACACTTAAATCCAGCTTGATATTTTTATTCTTTTGTAAGACAATGAAAGTGAAGCATGAATCAGAAAAATATAAATCCTTTATTAGATCATGTGACCTGGCTATTGTGCACAAAGATCATCAATTACACACATTATACAAGGGGAAGATTACCACGGGCTCCCTTCCTGCTAGTTAGAAACTGAGGGTGAGGCAGACTCTCAGATAAGGAGTTAATCTATTCTGTAATGGAACAGCAATAGTGAAGCATCTTTCTATTAAAGAACAGCCTTGGATGAGGACCTGGCCCCACATTAGCCCCTTCTCTTATTCTAAGCAGGGCCCAAAGAGTGCAATTGAAAACGGCATGAGCAGAAGGATGAAGGTGGGGATAGAATGGAAAAAAAGGGGAATTACATATTTTCTGCAGAATAATAAGATGTCCAGACTGATGGAGAGAGTGTTGCCTTGCAAATTATGCGGCAGTCAGAAAAAGAACTCCTTTCTCTTTAAGGCATTCATCTGCAATATCTCTCTCATAATTAGTGTTCATCTTTGGGAGGACTATTGGTGGTGGGGGGAGAACCTACTGCCATTTATTCTCTTGACTTAGATTATTAAATCTTAGTTTGCCTCCCTGACCCCTTTATCACAGTTAATAGGTGAGAGTTGAGTAAATATATTGCTAGGGGTTAAAGGTCATTGAGAGGAAATGGAACCTATATAGAGACGAGGAGCTTCCCCCCGAGGTCCTTTCCTGGATAGAGACAAATATTTAGGGCAGGACACCTGGTTAAGGCATGAGGCTATGTCTCCTGAGTCATCCTTACTGATGATATTTAAAATGTTGAGTTGTTTTGAGTTTTCCCTTCACCCTCAGTAATACATACATACATACATACATACATACATATATACATACATACTTGAAATCACTAATGCTTTCACACTTTTGTGCTATATACTATGGAAACTAACTAGACCAAGCAGTACAGGGAAGAGTTAGCTTTCCTTCACTTACCTCTCCATCCATACCTAGGAGATGCTACAGAACCCACAGAGGGAGTTAGAGCCCAGGGTATCAGGAAATTACAAATCAGGGAGTTACTGAAGGGTCTGAGCCCAGTAAATGAAGAGTGGATACATCAAAAGGGCTGAAAGACCCAAACTGGTACTTTACATTATATGTTAGAGGATACTGATCTTACATTAAAAAAAAAAAAAAGAAGAAGAAAAGAAAAGAAAAAGAAGGTTGTTAAGGTCCAAGTCAATGCTTGAATTACTCATTTTTTACCTTACTATGCATAATTTAAGTCAAAGCACATAATTTTTCTTAAAATTAGGAAAAAGCTCTATACCTATTTACAATCTGTGCATCCCTTCTGAACTTCTAGCAAAAGTGCTGGCCAAACCCGGCCCTTCTCCTTGGAACTCTAAGATGCAGACATTTCTATAGAAAGGCTGGAAGCCCAACATAGGGGCTGGTATCAGTAGATGGTGTATACTCAGAAATAGTTTCTAAGGCAAAGAACTGCCTTTAAAAGGGATAATGATTGATTTATGATCAGTTATGATCAATACTCATTCATTCAATACATTTTTAAGGGCCTGCCAAATATGTTAGATGTTGTGTTAGATGAGTTTGACTCTGTTCTCTGTTATTAAGGAGGTTGGGAGCAGGAGAATTAGAAAGGGCATCAGAAAAAATAAAAGGAAAATAGTGTAATCCTGAAAACTTATTCTTCTATTGGATACACACTCTCCCAATAATAAAATTTTTAAAAAATTTAAATTAAGCCTGTTTGTGTGGATTTTCATCTCTAAGCCTTTATCATGCCTTCCTTATCACTTCTTGCCTCATCTTGTCTTTCCAGAATGGGTACAGTTTAATCATCGCTTCCTTGAAATTAAGCTTTTCCTGCCTCCCTCTATAAAAGTGAGCATTGAACTTAGGTCTGCTATGTGTCCTGCACATCTTTTATAATAGAACACTGAATTATTACATGTGTTTGTTTTCATCTTTGGTCCTCTCACAAGCCTACAAAACTCCTTTAAGGTCAAGGAAATCATTTCATTGGTATTGAAGCCCCAGCACCTGGCACAACGCCTGTCACACAGAGGGAATTATAGATGTTCACTGAATGAGTAGGGCTCAGGGTTGGTCTGTGGGATTAGTAAGCCTGACATGAAAATCAAAAGAGGAGATAGGGGTGCCTGGGTGGCTCAGTGGGTTAAGCCTTTGCCTTTGGTTCAGGTCACGATCCCAGGGTCCTGGGATTGAGCCCCACATCAGGCTCTCTGCTCAGCAGGGGGCCTGCTTCCCCCTCTCTCTCTGCCTGCTTCTCTGCCTACTTGTGATCTCTCTCTCTGTCAAATACATAAATAAAATCTTTAAAAAAAAAAAAAAGAGGAGATTGATAAAGCAAGGAGGTATAGTTGCTAGCCAAAATCTTTCAGACTGACAGGACAATGGCCAGGAAAAGAACCAGAGATATCAACAATTTATAAATTAACTTCAAGGTTTATGTAGGGAAACATTGTCCTAAAAGTTATGGCAGTTTCATCATAGTTTTAATACATACTACTAGTTGTCTGCTCTCTTGGGCAATATGATCCTATAATCATATAGAAGAATCAAAGGATAATAAAAGAACCAATAATTAAGCAAGAAAATATCATGGAATATAGCTATGCCACGGGTGTAGAAGAGGGACCAAGAAAGTTTAATTCTCAGACAATAGAGAAACTATAGCAGTGTCCTGAGAAGTTAGGCAGCCTTTGAAGCCAGCAGAACATGTTTACTGGGTATTTTGCTAAAGAAGCCAATGTGACTCACATGATACAAATGTAAATACCACCAACTGGACTATTCTAATGATCCTGGTGGAGACACAATACCCCAGAAAGAACCTCAATACTAAGCAAGTGCCTGCAAAATGGTAGAATTTAACTGTGTACTTTAGGCTATCTAAATCTCAAATTAATGGCTCCTTCAAGCTACAGATCATACCATATTTACTGGAGTCTCCCACTGCACCCAGACCAATGCTGATATATGGCTCAGGGCAGAAATTCCATAAAGTTTGATGAACTGACCTCAATTAATACATTAAAAGTTTCTGGTTTAAGGAATTGAGAATGGCCCCAAGATATCAAATAAATGAGGAGAGTCTAAGATTATCCTAAATTATGGATTTCAAACTGGAGCCAAAAATTCAGACTTTTTCAGGGTAATGTATACATTGCTGGAAGAAAAAAAAAAAAAGTTGTGGAATATCCTAAGGCTGAATAGTCAAAGCATTTTGCAAAGGTAAGAAGTTTTCAGAAGAATTGAATCAAGGTAGAAAAAGTTGGCTGACTCTGGCCAGAAATCAAGTCCTGAAAGTCCTTTTTATAACTTGTAAGTTTTTTTGGTTTTTTTTTTTTTTTTTTTTTTACTTAATTCAGATAACTGCCTTCATTCTCCTTCAGGTGCATACAAAAATCCTGAGAGGGATTTTTACTTCCAGAATGTCAGAGTGAGAAATTCTGTACAATTGCTCCTGGCAAAACAAACAATAACTGCTAAAGATTAAAAAAATAATTATTTAAAGTCTCTGGAAATTATACTAAGAGAAAACAGCAAATTAAAAAATATTTATTCAAAAAATGTATTAATTCCCAGTAAGAATATTGAGTCTATGGCACTTTAGAGATAACCCTTTTCCTCCCTACCAACTGTCCAGCTAAGCATGAGAGATGTTCCATTTTGATTGGGTGTGGTCAAGAAAATAGGGATCCCTCTCCTATCAGCTCCCAGTTAGAGGATATTAGGAAAGTCAGACCACAAACATTTACGGGCCTTTAGTTCCAAATGCAGAAGATAAATTCCTAAAAATGCAGCTAGGAATCAGATATTCTCTTCCATCACCCACCCTCATTCATAGGACAGAAGAGATCAGATATTCTCTTCCTCAACCCATACTTATTCATAGGACAGAAGCTCTATCCCTGGAACAGCAGACAAAGAATACAGAGACCCTGAGTGCTCTTGCCCAGTTTGCTTGTAGGACCAGCGTTCCATGCCAGGAGAGACAAACTGAGAGCAGACCCTGACACTTCTGCCTAGCCAATAAAGCAGCATTGTCATTCTAGGAGAAGCAAGCCACTGTCCCTATTCCTTACTCTGAAGCAGTGGCTCAGAAATTTTTCTGTAAGAACAGATGGGGAAGAAAGAATCCATAAGAACAGAAAGCTTTTATACGCTTTCCACAGAAACTGGCATCATTTGAAATAGAGTTCTGAAAGTTTTAAGCCTAAGGTTGCTCTCAAAAACAATGATTTTCCTGGTAAGCAATTAAGAGAAAACTGATAGTTCCTTTAGAGCAACAAGCTAAACCAGCTAGCTTACCAGAAAGAACCAGGGAA